ATCTTGATGTGGATATATATATATGTATGTAAACATTTTGAAAAAAAAAAATTTACCGTGAAGTGAATTTTTTCCATCATTGGGATATAATCTATGTGCAGTTCCATTCAGAACAAATCGAGCCCCAGAAATTCTGTTTGCAACTCTACCCACCAGTGCTCCGAAGTTAGCGGTTCCATTCTGATACAAAGGCTACAGGTTAGATGAACAGTCAAAATAGAATAAATGCATGAAATGCTTTAAAAATCACAACATAATCATAATAATTCTGCATATTTGCAAACAAAAGCATAACCAATTAACATATATGCGAAACTTTTTTGAAATATTGATGTTATTATTAGAATCAATTATGACATTATGCATATCTTATTGGACTATAATATTAATGCCATAATTATGGGAGTAAACACATATAGTAATAAAAGGGTTTGAAGAAACCGACATGTTGACTTCATGGATAGAGAAGACAAAATAGGTAGGACCATCTAATAATGGCAGGTGACTATATTTAAAATCCTCGAAATTCGAGGTTATAATCTTATCTTATTTTGTTTTCGTGTCGTTATAGACCTTGCAAATCCAGTCAAGTCGCATGGAAAATTATTTTCTCTCATCATTAGGGATATATTATATACATGCCAGAGGTGTAGAACTAAATATTTTATTTATTTAGCCCAACATGAGCTGTTAATGAACAAGAAGCCTATTTAAAATGTTTACATAAATTATAAAAATATACTTTCCATAAATTTAATATACATAATGTAACATACATTTACATATATAATTTGTGGCTTCAGCGTTGAGTTCCAAGCTCAGCCGGTAGACTAGGGTTCAAATTCTGCTCAGACAAAGTGATAATCAAGTGATTAGATGCATAAGTCCAACTCAGACCCAACGAGTTGAGAACTAGATGGTTGGCAGTGCCGCCCATCAACCATCTTTAAAAAACAAACCGCCAATCATCTTTAAAAAATAATTAAAAAATAAAAAATATATATAATTATGGCTTAAAAACAAATAAAAAAAACGTAAATTATAGCAAATTTATACAAATAACCCATAATTAAACTGAAGTCAAGTGAGGTGTCGTCAACTCTTCATCAGTATGATGCATAGTTCATCCTAATCAAATAAAAAGGAAATCCTAAACGGTCAATAAAATCCCAAAAGGCTTACAATGTATGGACCGATTCCTTCATATCCAAGAGCAACATCAGCCAAATTCCCTGAAGAAAAATGAAGTAGATATATAATCACAATCACAAAAAAAGAAAAAAAAATTACATCTTGGGTACATTTTCAGTTATATAGAGCAAATCCATGGAGAAAATTAAAAAAAAAACAGACCTTTGGAATCTGGGAGGTTTACAGAGAGTATTGTAGCTCCCCAGTTGGTGAGCTTCATAGAGAAATCCCCTTTCTTGAGTTCATAGATTCTGGCAGTCTTCCTTCGCGTTGCAGAAGATGAAGAAATATTCAGCAAGAAGAAGATGAGGAGGACGAAGAGGAATGCTCGAGCTCTGGCCATGGCTGTCAACGGAGTTTGGGGAGAGGAGGGAGAAGGCGAGTTGAAATGAAGGTTGGGATAACTGAAAATACTATTTTAAGGTGAGCCGTGAAAGACGCAAAAGGATAGGGTTTAGCCAGAGCAAAATTTTTTCACGAAGAAATTCATATAAAATATTTTTATTTGATATTTACATTTAAAAGCTTTTGAAAATATAAAATTATACATGAAGAATATATTATTAAAATTTTGAGTACCATGCTATATATATATACATATGTATGTATATATATATATATACATATGTATGTATATATATATATATACATATGTATGTATATATATATATATACATATGTATGTATATATATATATATACATATGTATGTATATATGTATGTATATATAAATTTTGA